CAGTAGGAGGTGTGCAGGAGGCAGCTGATTGATGTTTCTCTCTCATCAATGTTTCTAACTCTCTATCCCTCTCCCTTCCTCTCTGTAAAAAATCAATAAAATTTATAAAAAAAAAAAAAAAAGAGTCAGAGACACAGAGATGGAAAGAGATACAGAGCTAGGGAGAGAGCCAGCACTACAGACACAGGAACAAAGAGAAACAGAGAAAGCGTGGGAGGTGAGCCAGAACAGCAGAGCCCACAGTAGCAGGCTCCAGCCTGGCCCAGGGCTCCAGGTGCCAAGCCCTGTGTTAAGAACCTGAACTTACAGTCTCACTGGTACGAACTAGCATCCCCCTTTCAGATGAAAGAATGGAGGCTCAGAGAGGTGAAGTAACTTCCCCAAGGTGGCACAGGAAGTGTTAGTATGGGACTCGGGACCCTAACAGACAGATTAAGAATGTGGTTTGGATATCCCAGCTGTTTCAAGAATTGAATAACTGCTTAAAAGATATCGAAGTTGTCAAAATGGAAAAAAATAAGACTTTGTTGGTATTTATGGTTTAATATTGGTGTGTTTTTTTTTTTAAAATGCAAATGGGTATTCCCTTTTAAGTGCTTAGAGTCTCTAGATTCTACGTCTGTACTGTCCAGTACTATAGCCACCAGCTTCATGTGGCTATATGAATTTAATTGAAAAGAAACACAACTTAAAAATTAGTTTCTCAGTCACAATTGCTACATGTCGAAGGCTCAACAGTTCCCCGTGGCCAATGGCTACCAGATTGTACAGTGCCGAGCAGGTCATTGTCATTATTGCAGAAAGTTCTATTGGACGATGTTACTAAACTTGACCAGCCCTAGTGGGAAGCCCACTTGGGAGGTGGGAGAGGTCATGAGAGGGGCAGCAGGTGGGGAACAGACACAGGGCTAAGGAACTCCCCGGGAAGTGTCAGAACTAGTCCCAGGAGCAAGGAGAGCCCCCAGAGCTGGGGGGAGGCCCAAGGGCCTGGGTGTGAGGTGTGCGCCTGGCGTGGGCCTGGGCGGCCCCAGCACCTGCAGGTAAAGCACCAAGGTGAGGCGCTTCAGGAACTGGGTGTTCTCCGGCTGGAAGGAGTGGGCCCTCCGCAGGTTCTGGACAGCCGAGGAGTAGTCGCAGAGCTGGATGTAGGCTTCGGCTCTTAAGGCGTAGAACTCGACCTGCGGGAAAGGGGACTGAGTTACCAGCAGGGGCTTGGTGGCCCTGAGACCAGGGACCTGGAAGGCATGACAGTGAGGGGGAAGTGTGTGCTACAGACTGGGTGGGCCCCCCAAAACCCTCCCCCTCACCAGCTGGGGGTCCAGGTGGATGGCACGGGAGAAGAACACCACAGCTGTCTCCCAGTCTTCTCGCTCCAAGCACCAGTGGCCCCGGTGGTAGCTGTGGGGGCAAGGGGCACAGGCAGAGAGGTGGCCCTGACTTGGACTGGCCCAAGGGCATACGGCCGGGACTGTGCAAGTGGGTGGGAGGCACTTGGGTGGAGAGAACAGAAGAGTAGACAGAGATTCTTGGAGCTCATCCAGGCCAGTAGCAGCCTTTGACTCACTGAGGCAGATGAGCCCTATTATACAGTTGAGTTCACTGGAGCCCAGGGAGGGAGAGTAACTGGCCCAAAGCTGCACAGCATGTCAATTACTGTGCAGAATAGAAACCAGGGACCTTAGGGCAAGATAGTCACTCACTACTCCCTGACTTTGAGAGGAACTGTTATTTCAGAGAGTGTTGGTCTTATTTCATCAAAGCTTTGGAACGCCTGGCTGGTCCCGAAGATGCGCTGTATGGTCTCCTTGGGGAGTGGAGTCGCCCATGGCTTTAGCTCTGGCGAATCCTAGAACCAATGGACAGCAAGCTGGAGCAGGCCTCGCGGATGACCCCACTCCACTTATACAGGCTTATCAGGCATTTTACAGGAAGGAGGAGAGGTGGGAATGAGGCCTGGTAGGAGGCACAGCCTGAGGTCTGGTGGCACCCCAGCCCCATTCCCCTGAGGGATGTTCTAACCCAGAGGTTCTCAATCTGTGGATCACGACCCCTTTGGCGGTCGAACGACCTTTTCACAGGGGTCGCCTAAGACCATCCTGCATATCAGATATTTACATTATGATTCATAACAGTAGCTGTGGGGGCAAGGGGCACAGGCAGAGAGGTATAACTTCATATTACAGTTATGAAGTAGCAACAAAAATAATTTTATGGTTGGGTCACAACATGAAGAACTGTATTTAAAGGGCCAGAAGGTTGAGAACCATAACCTCTCTCTCCAGTCCTGCCTCTCCCTTTCCTATGGTCAAGGCCAGGGTTTAGGATTCTCATACTCACACTGTCCTCAGCTCTCCTCCTGGTACCCCTCAGCACTCACCTCCAGCCACACCCAAAACTCTAATGCCTCCAGCTCAGGCCACCCCCCCCCCCCACCTCCCCGCTCCCCGCTCCCTGCTCCCCGCACCCCTCGCCGGCCTGAAGCTCCTAGCATATCCTGTGTGATCCTCGGGCCCAGCAGGACCAACTGAGCACTGCACCTGACTTCTGCTCTAGCTCTGCCGCCTCGGGAAGTCCACCTTCTCTGAAGCCAGAGACCTATGTCCCATCATCAGTCCTCAAGTCCTGTCTGTCCCACTTCCTCACGACCTTAGTTCCCTCCTCTTCTCTCGCCCTCTCCTCTGGGCCCATGCCATCGCGGCCAGGACGCCAGCATCGGCCACCCCTCGGACCTTCCACCGGCCACACGTCCCAACTCCTGTTCCCCGCACTGCGACCTGGAACTTTCTTGAACTGCACAAGTGATCCTGCCTCTCCCGTCCTCTTTCCTGCGAACTCAGCCTTGGTCACTTCTCTGCCGACCCCCTGCCCTGGCGGTAGCCTTCTCCCGCACCTGCTTGGGGTCGGTCATGAGGTCCCTCCTGGGTGACCTGTGGAACTGAGTTGGCTCCCTCTATGCCCTCCCTCGACGTTGCTAGGCACCATCTCCACGACGCCCACAGGCTCCGCCCCTCTGGCCACGCCTCCAGATTCCAAGGGCTGTTTGAGCCAGAAAAAGGGCAACCAACTTTTATTAGCGGGGGCGGCTGAGACGACAGCGAGGCGGGACCACAGCGGGGGCAGAGCAAGCTCCCTTCTCCGATCCGGAGACCAAGCAAGGGCTCTGCGAGGCCCACCACGCCCGCAGCGGGACGCGGTAACGCCGGCCCGCGGGAGGCGCGGGGGCGCCCCGGAGCGGCCACTGCCCCGCCACTTCCGCCCCTCAGAAGCGTGGCGACCCCGTGGCCCGCCTATTGGACGCTGGCGGCAGGTGGCGACCACGATTGGCCGCGGGGTGGTGACGTCAGGGGCGGGGCTGTTTCGGGGTGGGAGCGCGCCGCCCGCCGCCGGGCCTCTGCCGGGCGGGGCTGCTGCCGAGTCGGGCCATGAGCGGGTGCGTTTTGGAACCCCGGCCCCCGGGGAAGCGGTGGCTGGTGAGTGGAGTTAGGGGGGCGACGTAGGGGGTCCCGAGACCGAGCTCCAGTTTTGCCACTGTCTCCCCGACAGAGTCCCCGGATTCTTTGCCTCTGTTGTTGTTTTAAATCTCGAAATGGGTCCTCTACTCCGACGGGCTCCAAACTCCCAGGAACTCCGCCCCGGCGCCTCGCGCCCTGCCGGTCCGGCCCGCCCAGCCTTCTGGAGGCTCCGGGGTCTCCGGGCCCCCCCTTCGCGCCCCGTCCCCGCTCCGCTGCTGCTTGGCGTTACCCTCCTCCTGCTTCGGGCTCCAGGGGGCATTGTGAGATGGAGGGGTCGGGAGCTGTCGGCCTCAGTGTCCCTGGTGCCGCCCGCAGGTGGCCGGCCTGGGGAACCCCAGGCTGCCCGGCACGCGGCACAGCGTGGGGATGGCGGTGCTGGGGCAGCTGGCGCGGCGGCTGGGCGTGGCGGAGAGCTGGGCCCGGGACCGCCGCTGCGCCGCCGACCTCGCCCTGGCCGCGCTCGGGGATGCCCAGCTGGTCCTGCTTCGGCCGCGGCGGCTCATGAATGCCAACGGGCGCAGCGTGGCCCGGGCCGGTGAGTGGAGGGCACCGGGGGAGCCGGCCTGGCGGGCGGAGGGGCCAGAGGGGACTCGGGGCTGCGGCCACGGTTCCCCTCCAGAGTTCCAGTTGCCGCCTGGCCTCGGGGACTGTGGGAGCCTCAGTTTCTTTAAATTGTGGCCTCTCACGGGAGGTGGGAGTTGGGAAACGCCCCCGGGCAGATCAGCGGTAACGGGGCCACCGTTTCCCTGTGCCAAGCGGAGCTGTTGGGGCTGACTGCCGAGGAGGTCTACCTGGTGCACGACGACCTGGACAAGCCCCTGGGGAAGCTGGCTCTGAAGCTGGGCGGAAGCGCCAGGTGAGGCCCCGAGCACGTCGGGATGGGACAGGAAGTTGGCCTCCCATTTGGAGTGGGGTGGGGGTGCTGACCCCAGCCGAGCTGGGAGAGGGAAGGGGGCTGACCCAGGGAAGCACTGACTGCCCCTCTCCTATCCCTCGAAGGGGCCATAATGGAGTTCGTTCCTGCATTTGCTGCCTCAACTCCAATGTGAGTCCGCCCCCTTGGTCCTGCTCTGGGTCGGGTTGTTCGGAATGGGGCCCAACACTCCTCACCAAAGCTGCCTGGGCCCCTCCGCTCCTCCCACAGGCAATGCCACGGCTGCGAGTGGGCATCGGGCGCCCGACGCACCCTGACGCCGTGCAGGCACACGTGCTGGGCTGCTTCTCCCCATCGGAGCAGGAACTGCTGCTGCCAGTGCTGGAGCGGGCCACAGACCTGCTCCTGGACCACATCCGTGAGCGAAGCCAGGGGCCCTTGTCAGACACCTGACGCCAGTGGCCACAGCGGCCTGCTCACCTGCCATGCCCAGATACCCAGCCACATCCACAGAGGTGCCATGCCAACCTGTGGTATCCACTTTTTATAGAACTCTTCTCTGGACTACTCCAGGCTTCTTGGCATTAAAAGGGACTGTGGCTGGATTGGTCCATTTTGGGAATGAGGGTTGGTCGTCTCTCTGTGTCTTACTTGGAAAACAGGGAAACTTCAGGAAGACTAAGCTTTTTTATCTTTTTTGAAGACTCCGAGGTCTGGATCTGTAAGATTAAAGATGCCTGCTCGGAAGCTGAAGCTTCCTCTGGGGGTTCCTACCCTCCTCCTGCCTGTGGAGGAGGGACCCAGCAAGCCCCCCGCCCAGGGGCTGTGTGGGCATGCCTTAGGCCACTGAGACCTTGTCACACCTTTCTTCAGCCCATTTCACAGATGGGGAAATGGAGGCTTAGAGAAGTCTGGCCACATCCCCAAGGCCACACAGCTGCAGTGTGACTGAGCCATGATCGCACCCAGGGCTGGCTGTCATCGAGGTCCCAGGCACTCTCACCTCAGTGCTGCTGAGTGCCTGGAATGATCTCATCCGAGTGAAGTGAGAGAGCAGCCTGAGGTCCTCAGGGTTGGGTGAGATGCGGACCTGTCGAGGCACCAGGCCCAGGTCTGCCAGCTGGGAGGTCTGGAGGTCGGACAGCCGTTGGAGCATTAACCCAGTCTTAGGTGGCGAGATGCTGGACTGGCTGCGGGGAGGGGGTGGTGTCATCACCTCCATTTCAGAGAGGAGGAGGCTGAGGTTCAGAAAGGCTTTGGGGAGCCCAAATTCTGGCCCAGGGTCTCTGAGACAGCCCTTGGCAAGTCCTATAGCTGCTGCTTCTGAGGTCACACAAGGCCACTCACCTGTCCGGGTGGCTGTGATGTTGGTGGGGACCCACAATCATCGGGGGGCTTAGGACCACGCCTGAGCTGAGCATGGCCAGCAGCTGCCGCAGAATCTCCTTGCAGTGCAACTGGAACACTATCTCGTAGTTGCCGTCCTCTTCCTCTGGTTGCAGGTGCTGGTAGGAGTGGGGGTGGCCCATGGGGAGCAGGCCCATAGTGGCCCCAACACCCACCTCTGGGAAACTCCAACCCCAGTGCCTGTTTTAAAAAGTGTTCCCTGGCCGTGGTGGGATACCCATTCTCCAAATGGGAAGACTGAGGCCCCAAGGCCTTCCAGGGCCTCAGAGAAGGACTCCATCCAGTTTCTTCAAGACCTTGAAGGGATCTTTGAATTGCAGACTCAGAAAAGGGCAGACTTGCCAGGAGTCTCTCAGGGAAAAGTTGGGGCGTCTGGCCCTGGCTTGGCTTTCTCCGTGGGCCCAGTTACCTCTGGGCCGACCCCCCCCCCCCACTTTCACCCACTTGTGGTTCACCTGCAGAATGTTCTGTAGGAAGTTGGTGGTGTGGGTCAGGGTCGTCGCCAGGCTCGCCCGCATCTTCTGCTCTTTGGCCAGCTCCTGCTGCAGCCGCTTTGCCTCGGTGTGCTGATGCGCCAGCTGCTGGTTCAGCTGGGCTTTCTGGCTCCTGGCCGGGGGACCCGATGAGTCAGCCACCTCCCTACTCCAGGGTGTTGGGCCCTGCCATTGCTCGTTAGCCCACAGGGTCCCTCATCCAGCCCCGGGCCTCAGGCCGTTTGACAGGAAGCCTCGAGGCCCTTCTAGAGAGAGGAAGTCACTGGCCTGCGTCATGTGGCCATAGGAGATGGGCTCCTGCCTACTCCCACTGTCCGCCCACCGCGCGCCCCACCTCAGCGCCTCCTTCTCCTTCTGCAGCTGCAGGACTTTCTGCTCCAGTTCGCCCAGCAGGAAGTGCATCTGATCAGCCTCCACTCTGCCCTCCTGCTGCTTGTGGCACTTCTCCGTCAGCATGAGGATGATCTGCGGGTGCGAGCAGGTGGCCATGCCCCAGCCCCGCACCCCCAGCTCTAGGTTCAGCCAGGGCTCACCCCATGGCACAGAGAGGTCACATCCCTGAAGAGCAGCTGAGCAGAGCCCCCAGCGCTCCGGGAGTGGGTTCCACTTCAATAAGTTATAGGGGCTTTAAATCAAATAAAGAAAAATGAGCTGCCCTAGCCGGTTTGGCTCAGTGGATAGAGCATCGGCCTGTAGACTGAAGGGTCCCTGGTTCGATTCCAGTCAAGGGCACATGCCTGAGTTGCGGCTAGATCCCCAGTAGGGGGCGTGCAGGAGGCAGCCAATCAATGATTCTCATCATTGTTGTTTCTATCTCTCTTCCTCTCCCTTCCTTGAAATCAGTAAAAATATATTTAAGAAGAAAAAAAAAAATGAGCTGGGGCCAGCACCCTAGAGCCCCCCCACAAGTAGGGCTGGTCCCCTCACAGCTGCTCCCTCAGGACTTGGCTCCAGGCCAGGTACACCCTTGCCAAGCATGTGTTTGCCCTCAGGGCAGGGCCCCTAGGATTCCCTCCAGCTTTAGGTGCCAAACACCCTGTGATGAGGGCCTGGCAGGCACACCTTACGGTGGTTTCTGCTGTGCTTGGCCATGGCCTGCTTGGCGTTCTGCAGTAGCTCCAGCTCTTTGCACAGCTTGTCTTGGTTGCTCTTGAGCTGGTCATTCTCCCGCAGCAGCTGCACGCCATGCTGGGAGACCCTGGACAGCTGCAGGGTCACAGTGTTGTTCTCCAGGATGGCCTGCTTCGTTGTGTCCCACATCTGGCTAGTGGCCATCTTGTGGAAGTCAGTGGCCACCTGGTTCACACGCTGAATGATTTCCTTCTTCACTCTACTCGGGATGGGTGGGAATGAAGGGGGTCAGGCAGAGTGGGCACAGACCTCAGGCACCCCTTCCTATGTGGAGGTGCCCAGAGTGCCTAGGGCCACCTCTCTGCTCGTCCCTCCAGGAGGGGTGGGCTGTGGGCAGGAGGTTTCTCACTGTAGACCCTTTGTACCTTTTAAAAAACATATATTTTTTTATTGATTTCAGAGAGGAAGGGAGAGGGAGAGAAACATCAATGAGGAGAGAGAATCACTGATCGGATGCCTCCTGCACACCCCCTACTGGGAATTGAGCCCACAACCCAGGCATGTGCCTTTGGAATCAAACCTGGGACCCTTCAGTCCACAGGCCAATGCTCTATCCACTGAGCCAACCTGCTATGGCACCCTTTGTACCTTGAATTATGAACCAAATCAGTGTATTAGCTATGAAATAAACATGACTTAAGTCACAAAACGTGGCAAAAGGAAGTTCAGGGATTCTCCAATGCCAATGTGAGGACGAGCTGGGGAGCTTGGTTACTTTCTCACGCCCTCCATAACTCTGCTGGGATCCCGGGGAGCTCAGGTTGGGGAGTCAGTGAGCTAGCACAGGCTCCCCAGTCCGAATTCTGTGAGTCAGAGGTCTGAGGACTGGGCTGCGCCTGCCCTACCCCCCCCCCCCCCCGCCCCCATGAAGGCTCCCGCACCCGGCCTGCCCACCTGTCCCTGTCCAGCACCGACTTCTTCTCCAGGTTGTACATGTAGTCCTTGTACTCGTACTCCTGCTTCTGCAGCTGGTCCTCCAGCAATGTGAACTTCTCCGAAAGATCCTCTTTCTGCTGCCGGAACTCCTCCAGGGCTGCCAGCTTCCCCCCTGCCCCATCCCAGGGCATAGCCTGGTGAGGGGCCGCCTGGGAGGGCAGGTCCCAGGGGCAGCAAGGGCCTGGAGTGATGCCCCCCCCCCCACTTCCTCTTGCCTGCCTTATGGTTCCTGATCCAGGAGGGCCAGACCCCTACCCCTACACCCAGTCCTGCCCACCTTTATTGCTTTAGTCTGGAAAGTTCTCTCTTCCCCTCCACTAATCTTATCAAGACTCGTTCAGGTTTCACCTCTGAGAAGCTGTCCTTGACACTCTCCACTCCTGTCTCATGAAGGCAATGGTGATAACCACCACTCATTTGAACACCTTCTCTGGGCCAGGCATTCATGCTGTCATTAAGCCTCAAAACAACCCTTGCCACCTGGGTGACCTTGGCCAAGACACTTCACCTTCTTAAGGTGCTCCCTTACCTACAAATGGGGAGACAGCACTTCCTGCCTCACAGGATTGCTGGGACATTAACTATGGAAGATAATGTGTGGGAAGCAGCACATCGCTGTCGTTATTCAAGGTAGACATATCCCCGTTTCCCAGGTGGGAGAACAGGGTCAGAGAGAAGTGCTTGCCCAAGGCCGTAGAGATAGTGGTAGAGCTAGGACTTGAGCCCACAGAGCCAGAGTCTGGGATTCCCTGTCTCCATGGCAGGTGCACCCAGGCCCCCTCACCAATGATGATGTTCTCCGTGGTGAGCTGGTCCTTGGTCTCCTGGAACTCATGGCGCACCTGGGCTAACTGGGCTTCAAAGGCGTCCTTCTCCATCTCCTTGGCCAGCTGCAGGCTTTGCAGCTGCTCGTTGAGGTCGGCGATCTCATCCACCCGCTGGTTGAGCGTCCGCTTGAGGAAGGCCACAATCTCCTTCTTATTGCTGGCCAGCTGCTCATACTCCTGGCGGAACAGCTTCTCCTGCACGGCCAGCTCATCCCACTTGTGCTGGTACCTGAGGTGAGGCAGGGCAGAGCTCCAGGGGTCTGGGCACGCCAGGCCTGCAACTGGGCCAACCTCCTCAAGACCCTCTCACAGAGGAGCATTTGAGGTTCCTCATGGTCAGAATCCAGCCTCATCTCCCCCTGACCTGCACTCATGACCATAGCCAGTGTCTGCTTAGTGCATTACCTTCATCACATCATTAGCATGTAAGTTCCCTGAGGGCAGAGCCTTTCTCTCTTGTGTTCACAGCTGTGTCCCCAACACCTAGGACTGTGCCTGGTACATAGCAGGTACTCTGTGTATTTGCTGAATCCTCACAATAGCCCATAAGGAAGTGGGTACTATGATGATTATGGCCATTTGACAGATGAGAAAACGGAGGCTCAGAGGGATAAACTCCTAGTAAGTGGCAAAACCAGAACTTGAACTCTCGTCAATCTGACCTCAAAGTCAAGGCTCAACTACAACACTTAACTGCCCAAGTCGACCAGCTCTGTGCCCTCCCTAGCCTTTGCACCTGCTATCTTCCTTACCTTCATCCACTGAGTTAGCTACCTCCTCAGTGGAGCCTTCTTGGCTCTGAGCCATATTTGTGACCCTCTCTGGGGTGCCCTTTAGTAGGTGAGCCCTTGTCTCACTGGGCAGTCAAGACCTGACGTGTCTGTTTTCTCCACCTGGCCAACCTCTTACCTCCTTCACCATGATATTCTTGGGGCCTGGCATAGGAGCTTAGCAAATAGTAAGCACCCAATACTGTCTCCCAAACACATTTTCCCCAAATACATTCGATCCAGTGTCTCAGCTTGAAGGAAGCTTGTGAATTTTTAAGAGTGTCATATGATTGACCTATTGGTTTCCAAGGGAATAATTGGTGAAGTTATTTGGAAAGATGTTTTACTTCATAATTTACCCAACCAACATCTTTTGAACGGCTACTGCATACAGGGCCCTGCAGGGTACAGACCCGAATGACCTGCTTTGTGGAGCAAGGAAGCAGCCTGGTGGAGGGAAGTCAGGGGGCCAGAGCTCCCATTCTGCCCCCTCTGCCCCGCCCTGAGCCTCAGACCTTCCGTCTGTGCAATAGGGATGCCATGAAGACCTCTCTCCTGGCTCTGTTTCAGGGACACAGTGAGCACAGCACAGGACCCACCTGGCACACATGGAGGAGTCAACGTTAGCTTATCTGCAACATGTGGGGTTCTTGCTCATCACCAAAGGGTCCTTTAAGGGTGACCCTGAGACTGAGCCAGTGCATCCTAACTGGGAGGAAACTTGGTTTGAAAATAAGAAAAATGGACACACACACACACACACACACGCGCACACGCACACACGCACACACGCACACGCACGCGCACACACACACACACACCCATCCCCAGCTGAGCCTGCGCAGTGGCCAACTCTGGGCAGAGCTTCTGACCCAGCAGGACCAGCCTCTAGGCGCCCACCCACCGGGCCAGCCTGTCCTCCAGGTCTCGGATCTGGATGTGGTAGAACTCCCGTAGCTCCTGGGCCAAAACCATATCCATGGCCACGTTGGGCTCCTTCTTGGCACCTTTCTTCTTGGCCTCGAGCTCCTTGGCCCCCTTCTTTGCCTTCTTTTTGGGAGCCATGGCTGGTAGCCACCGCTACCTCAGGACTCCTTTAAAGACCAGGTGGTTGCTAAGGAAGTTGGTCTCATACATAGCAACAAACTGAAGGAATGAAACAAGGCTTAAAGGGGCCCTGCCCTATTTTGGGCAAGGCGGGCACTGGCGAATGGTCTCCACCTCCAAGGCTGACAGCACCTCCATAGAGGCTCTAGGTTGGGGTTTCCTAGGCCCTGGTGTCTCCAGACCAGGATGCCAGGCTCTCAGGGCACTCTTGGGCTCTGGGGAGACCCCTTCTCCCCCAGGTGGCAATAAGTGATGTAGAAATATTACAGTGGTTCTGAGCCCTCGAAGTCACGACCCTGCCCCTTGGTGCTGATCAGAGGGGACAGCTGCCCCAGAGCTCCCCAGGACCAGAAGAAGCTGGTCACCAGGCCCCCGGCCAAGAAACCCCTCCCCTGAGGCCTGAGACCAGCTTAATTCTTTGGTGACGCAGCTACACAGCAGGATCCTCCTCTTGGCTCACCCAAGCAGGTGGGGAGGCGGCACGGTAAGGACAGGTGTTTTAGTGAGCATCGCCCTAGGACGCGGGAGGGAGGTCACGGTTCGATTCCGGTCGGGCCAGGTGCCTGGGTTGTGGGCTCGATCTCCGGTGTGGGGCACAGGAGGCAGCTGATTAATGATTCTTTCTCATCATTGATGTTTCTATCTCTCCCTCTCCCTTCCTTTCTGAAATCAATTAAAAAATATATATTTTTAAAAAAGAAATAGATGTTTCATATAGGAGGCTCCCATACGGGGTCCCAGGACGTCCCTGTCCAGAGGCTGGCTCAGTTTTCCACCCGGCTCGGGGAAAGTGCCCCTTTGTCCCACGCTGACCCCGGCAAATAAAGGTGTACTCTGTAGCTTTGCCTTGGGTGGCAGCATCCTGGACTGGGGGGAGGAGGAGAAGAGGGCACGGTAGGTGTCCAGCTGGCTGATGCCCCGGCTGGCCCCTCATGCCCCATCTCCTCCCCTCTCCTGGAGACCATGCCTGTAGGCCTGTGGTATTCACCCAGTGCTTGTGGCCCAGGCACTCCTGAGACGGGGCAGGTCCTCTTCCTCCCTGTTGTCCTAGGGCTTGGCACTTAGCAAGAGGTGACAGAGTCCCTCCGGAAGTCTGAAGGTAGACAAGGTGAAGCTCTATTACTGCCGCCTTAGGGGTTGGTTTGAGTGGCTGGATCCTTGCAGTGGGTGCCAGGGGACAGGGAGGTTCAGAAACAGGGAGGTGGGTGTTTATTTTTGGCAATGAGGCAGGTTGGAGCAGTGGTTGGTTAAAGGTGGGCTTGAGTTTGTCTGCCCTGGACTGCAAACAGGGCAATACAGATCCCAGAGGGGAGAGAGGCCTGACCCAGTGCCCAAAACTTGGGGCCAGCAGAGGGACTGGCCCTCCAGCTTAAAGCCATGGCCATCCCCCGAGCTGGAGATTGCTGCCTCACTGACGTGGGAGGCTCCCCCACAGAGCCCCGCCCAGGCAAAGGATCCCCATGGTGCCTGAATCCCCAGCTGCCTTCTCCCTCCTCATGCCTCCCGGGTTGCTGCCCTTTTACCTGAGGCCCATCTCAGGGGTAGTTCTGAATCCCCAGGCTGATGGGCTGCCTAGAGCCCACAGAAGGTATCAGCTCTTGGGCCGGTACTTCCTCCTGGGGGTCAGGGCCAGGTTTATAAAAGCAGCTGCAGTCACACAGCAAGTGGCCAGCTGGACTTTCCGGCCAGACTTCTGGGTGGTGGGGGTGGGGAAGGGAATGCTACAGGTTGAAGGATACTCCTTTCTGGAGTTTGCCTGGAGAGTCTCTAGTCATCACCTTTCCCAGTGACACCATCTCATTGCTGCTTCTTAACCTGTGTCCACACTGGGGACTGGTGGTGGTGGGCCCAGGGCCTCCTGACTTTGTGATCTGGGTGTTCTGAGAGGAGCAGGTGCAGTGCACACAGCCCAGTAGGCGGCAGCATCAGTCCAGGGCAGTGGCCGGTGGGCTGGGGCACTGCCACCTCTGGAAGGCTCTGGAGGGAAGGAAGCCTAGGACCAATGGCAACGGGGGGGGGGGGGGGGGCAGGCATCATTAAACATGCCTGACATCTTGCCAACCTCTATGGAACACATGACATAAGAGAGATTTGTTCATCCAGGGTGTGAGTGTGTGTGATACAGTACTACCGCCCACTAGTGTGAGCTCATGAGGACCCAGTCTGCCTTGTTTGTGGCTGCATTCCTAGAGCCTAGGATGGAAGTTGGCACACAGTAGGCACTCATAAACATCTGCTTACTGTCAGACCACATGTGGAAGGGTTTTCCGAATAGCATAGTAAGGAGCTCAATCCACCTTCCCTTCAGCAAGACAAGTTAATTGAACATTTAAAAAAAGAAACAATTATTTAAAGTGTCTGGAAATTGTTCTAAGGGCGTACAGAAAATGGGAAAACATTCATTTAAGAAACTCTGCCCACTGGTGTGGCTCAATGGTTGAGCATCCACCTATGAATCAGAAGGTCATGGTTCAATTCCCAGTCAGGACACATGCCTGGGTTGCGCGCTCAGTCCCTAGTTGGGGATGTGCAGGAGGCAGCCAACTGATGATTCTCTCTCATCATTGATGTTTCTATCTCTATCTCCCTCTCCCTTCCTCTCTAAAATGAGTAATATTTTTTTTTAATTAAAAAAAGAAAATCTAAGTTTCCACACAGGCAGTAGAATGAGAAAGTGCTGAAAGAAAAAAACAGTCAACCAAGAATTCTATATCCAGCAAAATTATCCTTCAGCTCAGCATTACTCTTCCACAGGCATCACTCACAGGAGGGGACAAAGTTCCTCATCAAGGTCATGTGGATTTGAGCCAAGCCTGCTTGATGCCAAGGTCTGTCAAGCAGACTTGTCACTGCCATTCTGCCTCCCAGGAACAAAAGCCTGGTGTAACACCAACATGGCTGTACAGGCACCTGAGCAGGGTCTGGTGGAGACCTCCAGCCTGCAGGCCCTGAGATGGAGACATTCTAGACACAGAGAAATAGGGCGATGGAAGGACCATATCAACTACAGGTAGCTTGCTGTTGCAGCTAGGGGTCAAGACAAGCTTCACGGATTGTCCCCAAATGTGCAACAGCTACAGATCTTAATGCAAGTAACGGAGACCTGGATCCAGGAGACTCCAAGCCGTGGTTGGGGTGGCTGGACTCCTCTGCCATGGACCATTGCAGAAGCCTTCCTTTCCACTTCCCACAGTGAAACCAGCCCAGAGTCACCTTGGACACCATGAATGGGCGCCGAATTATTCATTTATTAGACTCAAGTACTTTAGTACAGAACAGTACAGAGATGATACATGTTTGTGCTTCAATACTTTCAAACACTGAGATTCTGATAATTTCAAGGTAAACAAGTTTCAAGACAGACTAGATTTTTAAAATATCCTTTTGATAAATTATGTTTCTATAAATAACAGAGAAAGGAAAACCAACATGTTCAACAAACAAGGTCCTGAAGCATGAGCATTGGTCACAGGGAGGGGACAAAACAAGCAGTAACAGTAAGAAACCAACCAATGCAAGTACCTACAGCTCTGTCCTAAGGAAATAAGATGTCTTAAGGGGAGAGGGGAGACAGACCTGCAAACTAATCTGAGTGCAAAGGGGAGAGAGGTTTCCAAGCCGTGAGGAGAGGACACCACAGGCATCTACTGGGCGGGCGAGGAACATGTTCTGAAAGGAGAGCGGGCGAGTTAAACTAGCACACACCACGTTTGCAACGACATCACGAGACAGGAATATACACGCGGTCTGCAGGAGTAAAAGGGTGGCGGGGGCTGGACAGGGGACATTTTTGTGACTTCCACTGTCATTATATTTCATGACAACAGCAGCAGAACAAACGGTGTGCTCACTCCCAGGAACGAGAACTGCTGAGTCTTGAGGATGATGAGACATCCTGCCTGCATTTGCTTCTTTAAGTTTTGCATTAGAGCTAAGTTTTATACAGCTAGGTTTTTATACAGGGAATAAAATGATCATTTTTCTCTACAAGCACAACAACATATGACCCTGCACTACAAAAAATAAAATATCAGGAAGTATCTTCCACTGAGGGTCATCTGAGTGGGCAACGGTCTGTATACATCCCTTGGGCTATGATCCCGGCTATTGGACGTCTTAGGGGACGGGCCCTCTCTACAGGGAAGGCCCTCTGACAGCGTCCTGCAGAGCTCACTCTGTTCTAGTCCCTTCCTGACCCCTGAGCTCTCCCAGGCTGACTCCACTAAGAACGAACTTCTCTGGTCAAAAGATCAGCCCTAACCCCTTTTCCAGGAGACCATGGTCTCCAGGGGGAGCTTGCTCCTCACTGGTTTGGGCACAGTGACTTAGACCACAGAGCGACTTCCCTCAGGGTCACAGCGCTGTGGACGCAGCCAGGGAGGGCGCGGTGACAAGCTGAACACCAGCCCCCACCCACAGCCACAGCCACAGCACTGGGGATATGGGCCACTGAGGAAAGCAAAGAGGTGGGTTCCAGCTCCAGCCTCCAAGATCCACCTGGGCCTCACTGCCCCGACTACCCGATGAGAGCAGGCCCTGGGGCGTGGGAACCGGAGTGGACAGAGAGAGCCTCAGTTTGAAATACTCCCAGAACAGACATCTGAGTCCCAATAAGAACAGAAACAACCCAGACAGGTTCTTAAAAACACTCAAGCACCCGCCTTCCCACACTCAGGCAATCTGCACGTGTCGCACCAGGTTATGTACAAGGTCACGGAATCATAACGAATGGGGAGGAGGTGTCCATTCATCTGAACAGTCCCAGAACTTCTCCAGCAGCGCGCCACTTACACACGAACCTCTCCTCTCAGGGCACATATAGAAGACAGTCTTTTTAAAAAACACAATGCATTATTTTCTTTTGTTTCAAAGAGAAGAGGGCATCATTAACACGAGAACGCAGCGGCAACAGCGCCGACTAGGGCGTGCAGAGCTGGGAGGCAGGGAGGGACAGAGGG